CCAGGGGATGACAAAACCCCTCAGGTAACTGGAAACTTCCCACCTTCCCCGAGGGCTCCAAAGACTTGGTCTCTAGTCTCCTTTGTGCCCTGTGGTACTTTACACACACCTTCTCATCGCGTAAGGACACATATGTCTTCCTCGGGTCTTCAGGGGCACAGGCAAGGTCACCTTTGCACCCCACCTTTCCCCTGACACTAGTAGGTGCTCAATAAATAATTGTTGGCTTGAGGGGAGCTGGCTCTCTACGTCAGCCCTGGGCTGCCTCTAGGCGTCCCCCTGTCCAGCCGTCTTGGTCCAATAAGACCTCCCCAGAAGCCCAGGTCCTCTTCATGGCATTCTGTCCCTCCAAGCACACGCAGGGGAGCCCCTCAGGGGCACTTATCTCCGGCTGAGCATGCCCTCCTTCCGCTGCTTCCCCCGCACAGCTTTCTCCTCGGCCTCCTTCCTTCAGCTACATAGGCCCCCTCAGCACCAGGCTGCCTGCTGTCCCCCAGGATGGCCTCAGGGTCGGCACCCCATCACATGGCGTGCTGCCCAAGGTGGCAATGGAACTTCCTCTGGATCCCCCGGCACCCAGGCAAGAGCTCTGTCCAGCACTGTGCTCGCTGAGGGAGTCTGTGCCCTATTTCCCTGCTCCAGCCCCCCATCCTGAGGTCCTGGGTGGTCCTCAGTTGCACAGCTTCAGCCCCTTGTCACCGCGGGGTCTCCTGCTCATTCAGAGCAGGTCGTGGGGACCAGAGCCAGCCAAGGCCCTCCAGCTCTGAGCCGGGCTTCCTCCGCCTTACCAGATGCCTGCTGGGATGACAGCCAGCAGGCCGGGGTCTGTGTACCCCAGCCTCAGGCTTTGTCCCTGTTTCACACTTCCCGTCCTGGTAACTCGCCTGGCACCCACCACCGCTGAGTTCTGGGCCCCCTAGTTTTCCCCGTGCTCTCTATGGACTGAATCTCTTTCTGACCACCCTCGGGCAAGCACAGCTGCCATTTATTGAGCACCTACTATGTACCAGGCATGTTTCTTCTAATGTTTACAGTAGCCCTCCAATGTACCAGTTCTCAAAGTGTGGTCCTGGGACCCTTGCAAGGCTTAACCCTGGTTTTAGAATTCTGAGACGCTATTTGCCTTTTTTCACTCTTGTTTTCATGAGGCTATGTGACATGTGATACTGCACCAGACCGAGCGCGGAAGCAGAATTGGGTCCCACAGCAAGCCAGACGGCAAGGGAGTCTGCAAAAGTTAGAACAAGGCCGCTCTCCTCTCAAGTTTTGTTTTGGAAAATTAAGTTATTTTTTAAGCGAATGTGCTTTTTATATTAACGTGTAGGGTATTTACTGTCGTTTTAAAACGAATTAATCAACCTTCTGTAAGTTTCCCGGTCTTCATTTCAGATACAGTGGCTATCAAGAGACCCAACCCACAAAAAGAAAACCTTTTTGAGGTCTTCAATAATTCTTAAGGGTATAAAGGGGTCCTGAGGCCAAAAGAGTCAAGCATCACCGCTTTATTATATCACTTCCATTTTGAAAACACGGACGCTAAGACTCAGAAAAGTTAAGCAGCTAACTTAAAACTGCGCCACTAAAAATGGGCGTTAGGTATTTGAACCCAGGTTTGCCGACGCCAAAAGTCTGTTCTTTTAGTTGTTCCAACGGTTCTTACGATTTAGCCTGCATCAGAGTTAGCCGGAGGGCTTGTTATAAGCCTTTCTCAGCTCCTTGTTTTTTTTTTTAACCAGATGCATGCATTACTTGGATATACGTTTTTAATTAAATACTTAAATAAAACTTAAACAAATTCCGTTAAAAACTCATAGTTGATCCCGACAAGCACGTTCTAAGATTTGCAACAGCATTGCCAAGAATAACCAAGAAGACGCAGGAGAGCAAGGTGAGGGGTTTGCTCTACCAGATGCCCAGGCTTAATTAGGACAATGTGGTATCACCGCAAGGACAGACAGACCGACCAGTGGGCCCGCGCACAGTCAGCTAGACTCACACCTATATGTGGAGATTTGGTGTAGGACGGAGGCGGCATGAACAAGGAAATCTGCTGGGACAGCACAGACCACGCAGGACGTGGTGCTCTCGTCCACGAGGAAAAAGGAACAGGAGAGCCCACCCTCCCGCCTGGGCCTGGTTTGGGGTGTGTGTGTGTTCGGTTCGTGAAACTGCATCAAGCTGCACGCTTGTGATATGTGTCCCTTTCTGAAGCCATGTTATTCTCCAAGAAAGGTATTCGTAAGAAATGTTTTTAAAAAGCAGGTTAAAATTATATGAACAGCAGGACGCCACTTCTAGGAGGTTTAAAAATATGCAAGACAATACTCTACATTATTTACGGATACAAACATGGGCCATAAAAGAATCAAGGCGGTCAACACCAGCTTCTCAGTGGCAGTCAGCTCTGGAGAGGGAAGGAGCTATAAACTGGGGCAGGGCTGCATGAAGCTACACTTCTTTCTGTAAAGCCTTACTTGCAAGTATAAAATACGCCCAGGAAATTATAGAAAACACTCAGTCACCTCTGAGGTAGAAAAGAGGTGGCTGGGAGATGGAACCAGAAGGAAGGATCCCCTATTGTTTACTTTGTAGAACTTCGGAACTTTGAAGTGTGTAAATATTTGTATCACGTACTTAGTGTAAATTAAACTTAAAAAAGAAAAAAAAAAAAGAACCCAAAAGGCACTGACCCTACATACAGGGACGTGAAAGGATGCTGTACTTTGGTCTACACTTCTCACGTATTTGGAAGAATCCATAAGGTACTTTTCAAAGTGCATATTCCCAGGGCCTGATTCCAGAGACTGAGTCAGGAAGAGGCTCGAAGGTGGGAACCAGGAATCTGATGATCGGCGAGCCCCCCTGGGTGATTCTGATGCAGGTGATCCAAGGACCACACTTGAGACACGCTGCTGGCCCCAGGGCCCCTGAGCCCCCGGGGCAAGAAGTTGTCGGACGCTTTGCACGCTACACCCCGCCCGCTTCCCTGGGGAATTCTGCTACCTTCCACCCTGCTGCCCCGCCCCGTGCCAGGCTGGACCACCCCCGCCTGTACTGTGAGAACGGCTCTCAAGCCAAGGCCCACTGTCGGAGGGCTGCGTAGGCAAAGAGGCTGACTTGGATCCGGGGATAGGGAATCCTGAGCCCCAACAGCCCTCCCACAGCCCAGCCCCTGGTCCCACCTGTTCCCGGGCAGCACTGAACATCGGCTCTTGGATGTCTGTGTACATGCGGCGGAGGGCGTTATACCCTCCGGGGATGCTCTCCAGGTTGCTCAGGGCCCGGTCCTGGTTCCGCATCATTTCTTGCATCATGGCTGGATTTCGAGCAAGCTCCATGGTCTGGTGGAGAAGGGAGAGAGACAGGAAGAACCCCAGAACCAGGGGGGCACCAGGCTTGGCCGGGGGTGGGCCCTGAGGAGGAGGTCTGTCCCAGGACCAGGGTCCAGGGCCCGGGAACTGCCCCACAGCGGCAGGGTGGCAGGTAACTTCCTCCCTCTACCACTGTCATCTTGGCTCTGTCCCTGCCTGCAAGGGTAGTCTGCGGGGCTTTGTGCCGCGGTACAACGACCCAGGGGTGGGGGGGCGAGGTCAGCAGCTTCTCTTCCTCAGGTTCAGGAGGCCCTCGAACCCGAGGCCCTCGGAAGTACAGGGAGCAAAAGGAAACTGGTAGGAAAGGACATGAGGAGGAGGAAGCAGAGGAGAGTCACATCTGAGCACCTATGCTACACAGGCACCCAGCTAAGTAATTCACACAGCGGAAGTCACGTGCTCCCCACGATAATTGTCCCAAGGAGATATTTCTGTCCCTATTCTGCAGATGAGGAAATAGGCTGAGATTCACTGGGGACACACAGCCGGTTAGTGGTGGGGCCAGGTTTTGAGGCCAGATCACTCCGTCTGTCCAAGACCACGCTGCGGTTCCTGGAAGATGACCATAAGTTGGGGACGGAAAGGGTTCACGTTGGGGCGACACGACCAGCACTCTCTAACCCCACCCCCAGGTCTCCGGCCTGGCCAAACCTTGAGAAACCCGTGGACGGGATGGGGGCTTACTCTCAATAAGGGCTGGCCTGTGTCAACTCCAGGGGACAGCAGTGCATGACGGGGGACAAAGGGCACCCTGCCTGGGATGCCTTCCCTGTCCCTACTCCCAAGTCCCTCCACAAGTGCTCACTAAAGCACCTTTACGTCTAAGACGGGACCCTGACTCCTTACCCCATAATTCACTCATTCTCTAAGTGTTTCCGGAGTGACTTCCACGCACCAGGAGCCATTCTAGGCAGGGAAGAAAACACCCGCAAGTCCTTGCTCCGAAGGCACTTATCTCCAGGGGAACCCAGCACCGGTGCCCACGGCTCCGCTGACGTCATCTCTCCTCTTCCCCCGGGGGACTGGGCCATGAGACAGGGCTCCCGAAGCCTGACACGCCGCCGCTGCCGGGCGTCCTTCGGCCACCAGCCCTGCCCGGCCCAGCCACGACGCTCCCCGAACGCCCTACACCCAGGCCTTTGCACGTGCTGTCCCTCAGGCCTGAACACTCTCCTCTTTTTCTTCCTCTGGCTCATGATTCCTCCTCTGGGTCTCAGCGTGGCTGACACTTCCTCCAGAGCCTCTTCTGAGCGCTCCCCCCCTCCTCCCCGGGTAGGGCCAGGAGCCCTTCTCTTAGGGGATCCCGCGACTATGACATCACCAACCACGCCACGTTACTACTGCGCGCTTGCTTGTCCCATTTCCTTTTGAGACCAGAAGTTCCTGGAAAGCTAGGCCTGTGCCTTGTCGTCACTACACCCCCAGTGCTCCAAACAGGGCTGCTGGATGAGTAAGTCACCAAATAAGCCAAGGCAGGGCGAGGTGGGAAAAGTCCCACCGGTGTCTTGTCCGTCCCCACCCCAACCTTCTCTCACACCCACCTGCCTCATGAGCTCCGGGTTGTTGAGCATGTGGCTGATCTCAGGGTTCCGCTCCATCAACTGCTGCATCTGGGGGTTGGCCATGATCATGTGGCGCATCAGGTCGGGGTTAGACATCATGTCCTGGACCAGGGGGTTCTCCATGATCTGCGACAGCATCTCGGGGTTGGACATCAGCTGTCTCTGCATTTGCTGCTGCAGCTCCATGAAGTTGGCGGAGCCCAGGCCCAGGCTGCCCAGGCCCAGGAGGCCCCCAAAGCCAGCTGCGGGGAGGGGCCAGGGTCACGGCCGGCCGCAAAACCCTGCCCCCACCTGGCCACGGCCGCCGAATGCAGGCCTCCCCGCCATGGGCCCTGTCTGTTTCTGGCATCTCCCCTTTCCAACCCTTCCCCGGGCCCAAGCCCTGGCCCGCTGCCGGCAGAGACAGGAGCCCAGCAGACCGAGACCTCTCTGGAAGCCGAGGCCGAGAGCCGGGCACGGCACTGAGCAAAGAGACGGCGACCAGCGATGGCCTGCTGAATGAGCCGAAACACTCCCCAGCTGGCTGCTGCTGGACCCACTCCGTCCCCAAACTCCAATATCCTCACCCCGCATTCGCCACGTCCGCAACCTCATTTCTCCCGTCCCCTTAACGTTCACCCATGCTCCCCTCCTCCGGGAGGCCCTCATAGACGGATGTCCTCCCCTGCTCCGCTCAAGCAGCAATGTCTGGAACCCTATGTCCAGGGGTTCCCTGTCCCCATCAGACCAGGAGCAGGGACCATGTTTCTGCCTCCTCTTGGCTCCCCCTGCGCCCTAGCCCAAAGCAGGACTGTGACCTCCTCCCTCAGGGCTTACAGAGTATGGATGCAGTAGCGCTGGGGGGTCCCTCCCCAGCCCCTGGGGAGGGCCCCCCCCCACTGCTCCTCCGGCTTCCGCTGCCAGCATCCGAAGTGGCGCTGCCAGAGGTGGAGGGCTGGGCCGGGGCGGCGGGTGAAGCGGGCGTGGTGGAGGGTGCCGAGGCAGGGTCTGGAGTGGAGGGGGAAGAAGCAGTGGTGGCAGCTGGATCTGGAGCCCTGAGGACAGAGAAATGAAGTCCCAGCTGAGGTGAGCCCCAGAGGGAAGACGGTGATCTCAGAGGAGGACTTTCGGTGCCTCTACTACCCTATCACAAGCCACCTCCTGAGCAGCCCTCAGGCGGGGGTGCGGTAATGCTGGGGGCAGTTAGTAGTTCAGGCCGAGGGAGAAGCTAGCACCAGCTGCCTCCGGGGCATTCTGGGAGAAGCGAGTCCCATCCCCTCCCCTGGTAGGGCTTGCCAATTCTTCCCGGACCTCGGCAGGGCCCTCCAGGTACAGGTGGGTGACGGGTGAGACACCGGGGGAAAAGAGGCCTGATCAGAAGTTGGATGTGCTCCTCTCCTGGACTTACTTCTGAGGGGTCTTGATGACCAGATGGACAGTGAGCCCATCCTTGATCCCATGCTGGTTCAGGGTGTCCCCATCCTTGAGGATCTTGCCTGCGAAGATCAGGACCAGCTGATCCTGCTGAGCCTTAAACCTCCTGGAGATCTCCTCTTTGAACTGTGGTCAGGAGGCAGAAGTCACTGCGGAGGCTCCTGGGCTCCACCCACCAGGGACCCTGCCTCTAGCCCCCC